AAGACGCCGCCCATGCAGTAGCGGTGGGTCGAGGCTTACTAATGGTCAGGGGAGGTGACTGGCCCCAGCCTCCCCAGGAGGGGCTGGTCGCTGTCTCCCTCGTGCCGATGCCACCTTCCCCAACGCACAGGTTCACGGGACTGCCCCGGACATCGCGGGCAAGGACATGGCCAACCCCACGGCCCTCCTGCTCAGCGCCGTCATGATGCTGCGCCACATGGGCCTCTTTGACCACGCCGGGAAGATCGAGGCCGCGTGTTTCGCCACAATCAAGGACGGAAAGGTATCCGCAGTCCTGACTCGACTCGCCCCGGGTCAGAGCTTGCTTCCCTGTGTCTTTCCCTGCGTGATGGGGACAGATGGTTGTTCTCACAGGGTCGAAGGGTGTGATGTCGAATAGGGCTCCTTACTGAGGGTGTCCTCGTTGAACTTGCGGGAGTACGTGCCCACGTGTGTGCGTTCTCTGAGGTGAGACTCCACGTATACATATCCGAGAAGGGTTGAGAAGAATGCTGCAGACATCAGAGGCAGGTGCAGGCCCAGTAACCCAGTTGTCAGCTGTGTGGTCTCCGCCAAGCCCATTATTTTTCCAGGCATTTTTCCTTCTCTCAAGTATCTATTAAGAATACATTGTGGGACCAGCAGTTAGCGTAAAAGCTATGTCGCTGGACTCCCATGTAGTCGACCGCAGTTTGAGTCGCGGACCCGGTGGCTTAAACTCAGGCCGGGCGCGTGTGCATGTGTGCCCAAGATCCTGAGAGGAGAATGGAGGAGAAGGGATTGAGGCGTGGCCATCCTCCCTGAGGGGTGACTTCTTGCTTTCTATCTCTCTGTCTCTCTCTGTCTTTCTGGCAAGTGCACACGCCCTATAGCGAAAACCTCTCCAAAAAAAAAAAGAAAGAAAAAGAATGCATTGTAAGGTGTGAATACAATAAAATGAATGAGAGTTCTCCAGCTTCCAATAGCTTGGAATCTGGCAGCAGATGCAGATTCAGATGTGCTTGGAGTAAGAGGTGTTATGGGTTGGGCTGTGTACACCTACAGTACGAAAGTGATACAGGGGTGTCACGTAAGTGTCAGGTCATTGGAGCAGTCATGACCTTTGCGTAGAAAACCATAGGGAAACACATTATGGCTTTTCCATCAACACTAACTCTCCCTTCCACCGCCCCACAGCCTCACGCCCCCCGCCTACTTTCTGCCTCTGACCTCTAGGGCCTTCCTGTAAGTGGAGTCATACAGAACATGTCCTTTGTGTGTGGCTTATTTCGCTTAGCATAATGTCGTCAAAGTTGGCCCATCTTTTAAAAAAAAACTTCAATTTGAAATGACTTCCTATGGCCAGAGTAGAAGAAACGCAGGTTGGTTTTTATAGCCCGCCAGTCACATTGGAGGACGTTTAAATTCTGAAGCTGTTTTAGGAACTTACCACCGGAGAGCCCAGCAGAGACGCCTGAACCACACCGTGGGCCCTTCTACTTGTGTAGACACAGGAGGGTTAAACGTATTGAGGTCTATGCTGCAGAGAGGGCGAGCTGGTAGGAAACAGATTGGTCGCATGGGAGACTTTCTTTCCTAAAGAGGGAGGTTGGCAAGCTAGTGAGTCGGGTACTTCCTTGGTATTTGTTTCCCAGTCTCTGAAAAGGGATCAGAACATGCCTTAAGGTTTATTGTTAGTTTATTTTTAATACGGTGTAGGGCATGTGCACTTGGCGGAGAGACAGGGAGAGTGAGAAAGCACCCCTGGGGGATGGCCAGGCCATAGTCCTTTCTCCATTTCTCCTCTTGGAATTTTGAGCGTACATGCATACAGGCCCAGCTTGTTTCCCAACCCACTGGGTCTGGGGCTTGGGCCACACGGTTGGCTACACGGGAACTTCCCACCATGCCACAAGCTGACCTCACCCCTTAAGTTTTTCAGCTTGAAAAATTCCCCCAAGGACTTGATGCAACTTCTTGCTTAAATCTTTTTAAAAGTCCATTTATCAACCAATATTTTCTTACGGTCTATTCTATGAACAGAGGGGGAATTTTAGGAATGTTCCCTACTCCCCTCAGCAGTGGAGAGCACCTCGTTCTTTGCAGAGGGTTTTGTCTGCACTATCTAACTGGGATTTCCCAGCCCTCCTGGTCGCGTAGATGGTCAAAAGTGAGGGAGGGAGACTCACTTTGAAAAGAGGAATTGAATGAAAGCTGGAACAACCAGGTAAGCTGCCCAGCTGCTGGCTCACCAAGGGCTTTAAAGAAAAATATCCTTGGTTTAGTTCACTGTGTGTTTACGTTTTTCCTTTTCATTTTTCCATTTCTTAGAGCTTAACAAAAGATTTGGGAGGCAATGCAAAGTGCTCAGACTTCACAGAGGAGATCTGTCGCCGAGTCAAAGATTTAGATTAAGGCTCCTAAGGATGCTCCTCCTGTCAGTCACTCCTGATGGACATGCCCGAGCCTGTATTTAGAACACCCGCCGTCACGTCTGTGTTTGGTTCGCTCATTTCTCAACAGAATACATTTTTAGATCTGGCCTTTTTTTAATGGTCAGTGCAAAGGATGCAGCTGACATCCCTCAACCTGCTTTCCGAGGACTTTCCCAAGTGCTTGTTGTATTTATTAAATGTCTATCTGGTAAACATCTTTTTGTAAACTCTAAGCGGACTGTATCAGTTGCCATGGTTAACCATTTTACACTTCAGTTAAAATAGCTTTTCCTCAGCTGTAAATATGATACAGAATTAATAAGAGAAAACATCTAACTTTTTAAAGAAAAACCCGATTTTCCTTTAGTTGATGAAAAACATATGGACATCAAGTCGGGTACTGGCAGAAAAGCACAAGGTGACATTCTTATAAAACTAAGTGGGCACGAGGCAAATTCCTTGGGAGAGCTGATACCCAAACAGCGAATACGGCGTATTTTTTAGCAATATGGAAAACTAAGACAAATCTGTCCTTTAAAGGAATTACTAAGTATGAATAAAATGTCAACATATTCTTCAGATCTAAGAAATACATAAGCAGAGATATAATTTTGTTAATAAGACATAGATCCTATATTGGGTACGAAGGCAAAAATGAACTGTATGTTCCATGATTTCATTACCTCGAGACGGAAGAGTCTTTACGAGAGCTGTTCGTGAGCCCGGGGGTGGGTGCCTCCTTGCCAGTGGACACACTTGAAGCTTCAGGAGTGCGAAACCTCAGAGTTAGACCAGAGGAGCTGACAATTGCGTGCGTTGACTCTTGTATGTCACTGTCCAGCAAGGGACCATACTCTGCCAGGGTTGACCCTGCTGAAAGGCCTGGCCACACGTCTTTTGGATGCAGTCAAGGAACTTGGGACGCTGGCTATTAATGTTCTATTCCAGCAGCTGCCCTTCCTCCTGCCCGGCCTCCAGATCACTGCCCTCTACCCCAACAACACCAGGACAAACGGCCTTACAGAGGCGGGAGCTGTCTCAGCCTGAGTTGATTGACAACCCTGTGCCAGGCCGGGCCTTGGGCTCAGCTTTGGACCTTTGGGCATCTTCTCCCTGCCCCACCCCCTCTGCAGCATGGTTTTTCTCACCGATAGACTCTAAGTCACTAATTCTGTGAACAGTTACCTTTCAGCCCCACAGAAAGACCCTTGGACCTCGTGTAACATGGCGAACCTGCAGCTTTGCATACTGTGCCCAGGTCACAAGGGGACAGCTTAAAGACAAACATCCCCGCCTGGGTTGTTCTTCAAGCGCGTAACCAGACTTACAATGTCATATGTCTTTTACTTTGTTTAAGCTGCTGCTTCCTGTTTTATTGGGTTGTGCTAATTACCAGTGACTCTTGGGTCCTCAGTAATAAAGAATTCCAAAGCAGACTGAAGTGTCCTCTCTGCACCTGTTTCCCAGTGGGCACCTGCAGTCATTTCGGCCCAGCATGCTGCTACGAGTGCTACTCACGGTATGCTGAGTACGGTATGCCGAGTACGAGGGCCTGCTGGCCTCAGGCTAATACTGGAGTTGGCTGCTTTTACTGGAATGCTCCGCTTGACCCCATTCCACACCTCTGTTCCAGGGCACTAATGGCCCCTCATTACCTCTTACACAAGGTCCCCCGGACTGGCCCCGCCTGCTCACTTGACCAAAAAAAAAAAAAATCAAGTACTTGTTGACTGTTCCGTTAAAAGGTTTAATATTCAAATGACACATTAAATAAAATCAGATGGGTGGCAAGCAGTGGCGTTAAGTCAAGTCAGTGGGTGCGGGCGTGGCGGAGCTCCTGGGCTGGGGAACTGGGTCGGCAGTGTCCGGCGAGGTTCCAGAGTAAGTAGCCGTTAGGTGAGTTACAACTGGTGGCTTTCCCTAGTATCCCGAGGCGTGCACGAGTAACACAGCCACCCTCCCCCCAGACAGCCAGCTGCCACTGGCTGAGTTGTTAGGTGAGCTGGCAGCTTGTTAGATCCAGAACTGAGGCTAGAAGTGAGCAGTCCTTCAGCACTGGGAAGAGCTGCTCTCACTTGCCACCTGAACCAAAAGCAATACTTAAACAGAATTACGACTATCCACACATGAAGCTTCTCGGGATTGTCAGCTGTCGGCGTAAGGCCTGGCCATGTCGCTGTCAGCTCACCCCCTGACCTGGGGACCTAACAGACTTGCCAGGTGTCCCGGCGCCCAGCCAGGAGAGCCTAGAGTCAGGACAGTGCTCCAGAGGCCAGCCACCAGTCTATTCGGTAGACTCGCCAAGGGGGCCCCTGGTTACTTTTTCTGCTCTTGGTAAAAGGAATCAATGATGTCTTTGTACTTCTCCAGAACGATGAGTCGTTTCAGTTTCATTGTGGGACCTAAAAGGAATGGGAAGAAATGGGTAAGGCCCGGGCTTGGAGCACTCCTGGAAGGTGTGCGCTGAAGATCAGACTGTGAGTCCTAGAACTCAGGTTAAGCCAGACCATCAGGACAGACTGAGGAGCTGCCTCCACCCTGGGGCCCTCCGGGATCCACGCCCCGGTGCAGTCCCCTTCCAGTCTGTACCAGGGTTGATCTGCGTGGCCCTCAGGATGAGGAGGAAGGTCTGGCATGTCCCTTCTGAGAAGAGCTCATAGGAGACCAGTCTCTCTCATGCACAGTCATGTGGTGCGAGCCACACCCACCTGATTCTTCACCGGCACCCATTCGTGATTCTTGATCTATCATCTCTTCTGTCCCTTGAATTAATAAGTGACTGAAGCAATTAAGTTCTGAGTGTTGGGCCAGCAGATGGCGTAATGGTTATGTTGCTGGACTCCCACATGGCCAACTGCAGTTTGAGTCCTGGAA